AAAGCTTCTTATTTACTGTTCTGGATGTACTAAAGGTGGCTTATTCAACAGCATCCATGTTCCAGGACACTTTGTTTACAGGACTAGGTTCTCTAGGACCTCTGGGAAGAGCTTTCTGTTACCACAATGCAGGACGGATGTATTGTATGTTTCTGATCCTTGCGAGCATCTTGACCAAGGAGAAGAGGGGGATATTGGATTTTTTCGGGGAATATTTAAATCCTTTGCTACCTCCAAAGTTCGTAAAATGTTAATTAAGAGGGAGGCTCAGCTCCATCCAACAGAAGTGTGCCCTTACTGTAAGGCAAAACTGTGGAGCATGCTGCAAGCAAAAATGGTACCAGAAAGTGCCAGCTGTAGATTGGGTGCTTATGAAGATGCAATTGAGTATTATGTGTGCCTTAATGGGCATGTGCTTGGGATATGTACCCTCTTGCCCTTGTCTGATTCTGAGGAAGCTTCAGATCACAGTGATGCATGAATGCAGGTATCATTGTCAAAATCACACATTTGTTGCTTGACGTAGAATATATTGGCTATTTGTATTTTAGTGATGGCATGTTGCCTTTTTATGGCGGCAGCTATATTCAAACTTTTATCTATTGATTCATGTTATCCCATTTTCTGGTTTTTTTGTGTATCAGAGGGGAAAAAGATGATAAAAGTCGTTGGATTGTTCTATAACGGACAAGCAAGAAATAGTTCATTAAGTGGAAGATCTCTTTTGGTGGACCGGACCATGGACATGGAACTGTATTTATGCAAGCTTGCCACTTTCCAAGCTTATCTGACCCGATAGTAGTTCACTGCAAACCTTTGACATATCGTTGTTATCTCAGTTGTAACAAACACAAGAATTTGTTTGTATATTTTATGGCCTCAAATGTGCATCTAATCTAAGTGACATGTTAGAATCTGCAACATTTCGAGAGTTGTTTGTTGTGAGAAGCAGTTAAGAGTTACCCCATGTAAAGTTTGAAAAAAAAAATATTGAATGCAATTCTGATGAAGCGAGTCATTTGCCATTTTCTCCCACCTTAATTCATGTGACAGTAAATTGTTTTGCCTTTAAAGTTTTTAATTTGGTTAAAGATGTAAAAATCAGTGGAGGAACAGAAGTGAGATTTGGGAGAATATTCTATGTTAAGAATCCTAATTGTCATTTTTCAGTTGTTACAACCTACAATGAGATAAACATGCAATTTAACTTAATGAATTTACCTAAGATATATTAGATATTCTCTACGACGATAAATTAATGATAATCACATTACGGTCCTGCGATAAAATAATCTCGAAATAAGCTAATATCTCAAATCAAATTGAACCTGAGATAAATTTATTGTTTATCCTTCTTCGTCCACTGTTGCATTAGTGGGTTTGGGCCGGATCTTAAATAAGGCCCATTCTGCTAGCAGATATTTGTACTAAAAGTTGTCGTTATCTTTACTTTTCTTCCTCAATTCGAAATTTTTACTTGACTGTAGCATGAATTCCCATCCGTGTCTCCATTAGTGTGCTGAAGAAGTCAAGTCTCTCTCAATCTACATATTCTACTCTGCCTTCTAAAGTTCAGGTAATTTTTCATTTCTTCGAGCTCTTGACGAAACTCGAAGGAGAAGTACTGTTGAAGGTTGAATGGTTCTTGCGGATAACAAATATTACATGCATATTTGTCCTATTCCCATTATCAATTCTTTAATTTGCTCAAATTGAACGGTAAAGATTGGAACTTTGATTGATGATGGTGTTCAAACTCTATTGAATTTCTTCGGGCGGTGGCTCCAAGTTCTAGTGTTGATTTAGGTGAGAAATTCTTTGTCTTATGAGGTTGTTGTACCTTGTGGAGCGAGTATGGTACACGTGATAAAGAACTTTCCTACTTTAGCAGTTTCTTTAGATAATAATCGATTGTTCTGTTCAAGAGCTCTTTATAGTGGAAAAGGTTTTACTAGTTCTAGATTGGTTAATGCTTTTGAGCGATGCAGTTTGTTTGGAATTGAACAGATTAAGTTGTCAACTGTTTTATTTAACATCAAGGAAGTGAATAACCTGTGTGACATAGCTCTGAATGTCGCTTGTGAGATAGAACCTATGTGTGGTGAAGAGACTGAGGGTTCTGATATTGAAAAAGATAATTCAGCCAAAGATCAATATAGCCTAGAATTGTTTGGTAAGGACTGTTTGATGGATTCGTTTACTGAAAGATATGATACAAACCAACCTTCAAGTTCTCTTGAAGAAACTAAAAGTTCAGTTGACAACGGGATTCTATACCTAGAAGAAATGGATGAGAAGGTATTGTCAGAAAGGATCTTGAAGCTCAGCAGGCTAAATAAACATAAAAGTGCATTGGTGATATACAAGTCGATGATTTTTTCAGGTCTTAAACCTGATTTACATGCATGTAATTCCCTTCTTTCAAGTCTCTTGAGGAATGGAATGCTTGATAATGCATTAAAAGTATTCAACTCCATGAAGGCTAGTGGGCTGACAACCGGCCACACTTATAGCTTAATTCTGAAGGCAGTTGCTGATGCTCGGGGTTATGACAGAGCAATAAACATGTTCCGTGAATTGATAAGCAGTAGAAATCTTAGAGAACAAATTGATATTATTGTATACAACACAATGATATCCATCTTTGCAAAAGCAAACAACTGGGATCAGGCACAGAAGATTTGGAAAATTTTGCAGTATGATGGTCAAGTTGGAACAACAGTCACTTACCGTCTGTTAATTTGCACATTTGTTCGTTGTGGTCAGTATGAACTAGCTATTGATGCATATAGTGAGATGATTCATAATGGGTTGAGCCCAGAGAGTGATACGATGCATGCTATTATTGGAGCATACAGTAGGGAGGGTAAGTATGACTCTGCATTGAATATCTTGCAATGTATGTTGGACAGTGAGCTTAAGCCAAATGCGAGAGCATGCAACATAGTGATCAACTCACTTGGAAAAGCTGGCAAAGTCAAGCTTGCATTTGAGATTTATGATCTGATGAAATCATTAGGTCATGCACCTGATGTATACACATGGAATTCCTTGCTTAATGCCTTAAACAGGGCAAATCGATATTGTGATGCAATTCAGCTCTTTGAGAGAGTAAGAAATATCCGAAGTGTTATTTTGAATGAGCATATATACAATACTGTTTTGACATCATGCCACAGACTTGGGTTGTGGGAGAAAGCTGTACAGGTACTCTGGCACATGGAGGCTTCTGAACTCCCAGTTTCAACTGCATCCTATAATCAAGTCATTGGAGCTTGCGAGGTAGCAAGAAGACCCAAAGTTGCATTACAAGTGTATTACCGCATGGTTCGCCAAAACCGTTCTCCTGACATATTTACTCTATTGTCATTGATGAGGGTATGCATTTGGGGTTCTCTCTATAATGAAGCTGTGGAAATACTAAAAGTAAGTCCTGACATTCGTTCTTCTACCGTAACTATTGCCTTCTTTAAGTTCCCTGCCATATTGCAAATAAATCAGAGGATAAATATGCTACAACTGTGGATTTGATTGTTCATTTTATTGTTGGTAAGTTCTGATTTAAGAGTGAACTCGCTGATTGATCTTATGCTTGTATGGGAATGTTCAATTTGCAATATCAAAAACTCAAACCCGTGGGAAAAAAAAATCTAGACTGGAATGTTGATTATTAACTTGGCTTTGTTTCTATTACCACTATTTATTTGAGCCAAACTCCCCCGGCACCATCCCAACACAGAAAATTCCTGTTTCTCTCTTCTTCTTTTTTTCAAAAAATATGATAAAATTGCTTTGACATTGGAGGTAAGTAATTAGGGAGGAGGGAATCATTCAGACATCAATCATTATCCAGGACTAAAGTCACTTCAACTTTTATACTTAATGTGTTGCAGTTTTCTGAACCAAATGGATCACTTTACAATGCTGCTATACAAGGGATGTGTTTAACAGGAAGGCTTGATTTGGCTAAGAAGCTGTACACAGAAATGCGTGAGAGAAGCCTTCAACCTGATGGCAAGACACGGGCTATGATGTTGCAAAACTTACCAAAAGATTCCAGGAGAAATAGAAAACGTAATTTGCAGAACTAAAATTATTTGGAAGAAAACAGTGTGCTTTACATTGAGATGAATAAGATATAATAATATTACTAATTAAGGTTCCTGTTATGATAAAAATTGTCATGTGAAGGTTAACCTGAAGGACAATTAGAGTCAATGGGTGCACATGTGCTTGTAGCTGAGTTGATGGCAAAATATAAGTACTGTGTTGATAGTCACGTACAAGAGTAAGAAGACTCACTGAGGTGCAGCTACTCTAATGAACAGGTTTACATTTAAGTATTTTATTCCTTACTTCGAATTAACTTGACATTTGAATTACTCCTAGTCTTCTACTTCTTATCGTTTCAGTTTTTTCAGTATATATGAAATTATGCTAATCACAGCCTGGACAGTGATTAACCAGTGGAGGACAGGACCCAGTTGGGTTTGCGGAGTCACATGGCAAAGCATTCAGATTCAACAATTATATAGCATGACCATTGGTCTTTGCCCTCCATGCAAGCACACCGAAAGCCGCCATTAAGCTTTGAGGAAACACACGTCTTCAAGCATAACATACATCCATAGAAAACATTTTTACGTAAAAACTTTGCACTCTGATGTAATAATAAATCATTCTATAGTGCCATTTTGTTTGAATTAATTTCTATCTACTTATTTGCACAGAAAATCTCATGAAAACAGAGATTTTTCATTTCTTAGTGCTGCATTTAAATGCTTGTATTGCAACTTTAGGTCTCCTTTATATCTTACATATCACACTGAACTAAAGAAGTTAATTAGATTCGAAGATGAGATCGAAGTTGTTGTTTATATTCTGAGATGTGCTACCAATACTTGATGGATGAGTATCTAATCCCCATATTCCTTCCCCTAAGTCGACCTTCATTCTTATATATGATTAAAAAAAAACATGGGTGAATAACCGTTAACTTTCTATAGACTAATAAGCTATTTATTATACGAAAACAGAACTCCACACTGTTCAACTGTGTAGGTATTTGCTATTCAAAGCCGTGAAATATGTATATCCATAATCTAGATACAAGAGCTACTACTAGTTCGATGCTCGAAATCATAGTATGTGTCTAAACAAGATGTTGAGGTGTAGTCTCATAGTTTCTGAGAGAAAGCTTCTTGGTTCTCAGCTGGAGAATCTGAACCAGACTCTTGTCTTTTAAACACTAGCTTCTGCTGAGGAAGTTGTCCATTCGAAAATGCGCTGACCTCCGTGTCTACTAAAATAGTATCCTCATCCTTGAATTCTCCTCTTAATATTCCTTTGGCCAATTCGTTCTCAACATTCTGCTGGATCACCCGCTTCACTGGCCGTGCTCCATAGTTGGGGTCATAACCAAGACTTCCAAGCAATTGAATAGCAGCTTCACTCACTTGAATCTTCATTTTACGATCAGCTAATCTCTGCTGCACTCTTTCAAGCTGCAACAACAAAAAATAGCTCAAACTCAGAGACATACATTTATATCCAGACACAGCATCAACTTCCAGCATTGACATTACCAAGAAGTATATGCAAACGCAAACAAACATGTGTATTTGAGATTGGAAAAGGTATGTTACCTGTAATCGCACAATGCTACTGATCTGGTCACGATCAAGAGGCTGGAATACTATATATTCATCAACCCGGTTCATGAACTCAGGGCGGAAAACTGCACGTGCAGCATCCATCACCCTTTGCTTTATTGTTTGATAAGTCGCTTCCTTCGATGAATCATCATCATTATCATCTGTATTTAGGATATATTGTGAACCAACATTTGATGTCATGATGATGACAGTATTGGTGAAACTCACTGTGCGTCCTTGCGAGTCGGTCACCCTACCATCATCTAAGATTTGCAGGAACACATTAAATACATCCGAATGGGCCTTCTCAATTTCATCAAACAATATAACTGCATAAGGTCTTCGGCGAACAATCTCTGTCAACTGCCCCCCTTCTTCATACCCGACATAACCAGGGGGAGCTCCTATCAATCTTGAAACTGCATGCTTCTCCATGTATTCACTCATATCGATGCGCACAAGTGCCTCTTCAGTATTGAACAAATAGTTAGCAAGGGCCTTAGCTAACTCCGTCTTTCCAACTCCAGTGGGACCCATGAACATAAAGCTTGCAATAGGACGATGAGGATCTGAAAGTCCAGCACGCGAGCGCTGGATTGCCTCTGCTACTGCTCTTACTGCTGGATCTTGACCAACAACACGTTTGTGCAACTCTTCCTCTAAATGCAACAGCTTTTCCCTCTCCGACTGTTGTAGCTTAGAAACAGGAATCCCAGTCCACTTACTAACAATCTCTGCAACATCATTCCCAGTTACTTCTTCTCTGAGCATCGATTTTCCAGACTTCATATAATCACTCAGTTCTTTTTCTGAAGCTTCAAGTTGACGCTGCAAGGTGTTTAGACTCCCATACTTAAGTTCAGCAGCACGATTAAGATCATATTCCCGCTCTGCTTGCTGGATCTCAAGATTTACCCGGTCGATCTGTATTTAGGAAGAAAGTTAATCAAGCTCCACTGCAATCTAATTCATTTACATACGAATTTCTCCTTAGCTAATTCAATTAACAGCTCAGAATATAAATGCACTTCCACTCAAGAGTAGTTATTAACAAAAGAAACAACAGTTATGAACAAACTTCAGCTGCGTACCTCTTCCTTAATGGACTGCAAGCGAGTCATCACACTCTTTTCATGCTCCCACTGCTCAGTCAGCTCAGCTTGCCTCTCCTTCAGAAGAGACAATTCAGTCTCAAGACGGTTTAACCGGTCTTTCGATGCTTTATCTGTATCATTAGTTAGAGATAGCCTCTCCATCTCCAACTTCAAAACTGCACGATTGATCTCGTCAAGGGCTGTAGGTTTTGAGGTGATCTCCATTTTCAGTTTTGCAGCAGCTTCATCAACTAGGTCAATAGCTGCAATTTGAAAACCAGCACTTTTAGCATAGACTATAAGTTCAATAAGAACTCGTCTATTATACTCCACATATTGTGCAGGTCAAGTGCATGAGCACTTGGTGTATGCTTACTGGACCAAGGGAAACAACAATGTGGTGATGAAAGACTGAACGGTATGCTTTGATATGATCCAGAAAATGTGGCTACATCACCGCTCAAGTTGTTCCTTTCTATAGTATTTTGAGAAGGTCACGCTCAAATGTCGAAGTGATGATTAGTAGTTTGATAGGATTAAAAATCCACCAGCAGGACTAAGGTTAGGCCAAACAAATGCAAAATTGTTTCCTAAATTTTAAATCAAAATTACACAAGCAGGACCACTATAGTCGCCCAATTGAGTACTAGAACTTTCACCTTGTTGATAAGAGTTCGGTTCCCTTCTGGTAATCCCTCCCCCGCCAGCTCTATTTGTAATAAATTAAAATAAAAACTAGACAATAAAGTTATATCACCATGAACTATACAGTTGCTCTACAGTGAACAGCTTTTCAGTTTCTCACCTTTGTCAGGTAGAAAACGTCCACTAATATAACGGTCCGAAAGAATAGCTGCGTCGACAAGCGCAGTGTCTGAAATGCGAACCCCGTGATGCAGCTCATATCTTTCACGTAATCCGCGAAGTATGGAGACAGTGTCTTCAACTGTAGGCTGGTCAACATAAACTTGCTGGAAACGACGCTCCAGGGCAGGATCTTTCTCAATATATTTACGGTATTCATCCAAGGTGGTCGCACCAATACATCGTAGTTCTCCTCGACCAAGCATCGGCTTCAATAGATTCCCAGCATCCATTGCACCATTAGTAGCACCTGATGAAAACAAATGATTTTGTTTTTTCACAAACCAAACCAGAAAAAAATATATCCAAACTTGGATGAACCCAAATAATGGTACGGAATACAACTTCTGGTGTAGGATGAAATCATAATGATCCCAGTATGTAGCAGACGTATAGGCCAATAACATGGTTAATTATAGGTCCATGCTCAAGTGAAAGGGCAACAAGTATTAATTTTTAATCACCGGCATTCCAACGTATAAAACAGCATTTTAACATCTGGTGATGTTCCCTAAGAACATACCTGCACCAACAACAGTATGTATCTCATCAATAAAAAGGATGATCTGTCCTTCAGATTCTGTCACTTCCTTAAGCACTGCCTTCAATCTGTCTTCAAATTCACCACGATATTTTGCACCAGCTATGAGCGCACCCATATCAAGAGATATCAACTGCACAGAGGACGCAAACATGTTAATTGATAAAATACTTTCTTTCATAAGTCAGGTGAATGCAACAGAAATTCCCTTCATCACTAACCCTTCGATTCATCAAAGCCTGAGGTACATCTCCTTGCACAATTCTCTGAGCAAGCCTATCAAACAGGAAGAGAAGAATATAAGTTATACGCAATGGATAAGTATTTTTTGAAAAAATATAACAAATTGAGACCAATGGAACATGTTCCAAATGAAACATACAAATAAAAATTTAAAATCACATGCTCCAACTCCCGCTCTACTGCTCAATAAGAAGAATTTACTTACCCTTCAGAGATTGCAGTTTTCCCAACTCCAGGCTCACCAATTAACACTGGGTTATTCTTTGTTCTCCTTGAGAGGATTTGTATGCATCTACGTATCTCATCATCTCTTCCTATAACTGGGTCAAGCTTCCCCGCTCTAGCCATAGCAGTCAGGTCTTTTCCATATTTTTCTAGTGATTCATACTTCCCTTCAGGATCTGCAAGAATGATAAACAAGATATTTGAGAAATGGAAAAGGCTAACAGGATATATTGCAGACGAGCATGTGTTGGGAAAGTAAGGTTGTTGTTAACAAATAATCTAATGGTGTATACCAGTCAAACTACGTATAAAACATTAAGGACTACACTAGGAAGAAGCTCCCTGTATCACATGAAAGGGAGGAGATCCAAGTGTAATGAACATAATATAGTCCATAAAGGGGCAACTACGTCTTAATTCTTGCACTTATTGACAAGACCCACATATGCAAGTAGTCCACCAATTATAGAAAGAACTAATTACCTTGATCAATAACATTTTGGCGTCCCCTTATGGATTCAATGGCAGTTTTCAGTGTCTTCAGGGAAATCTGGAAATCATTAAACAGTTGCTTCCCAAATCGTTTATCTTGAATGAAGCCAAGCACCAAATGCTCAACTGACACAAAGGAATCACCATACTCTTTCTTGTACTCCCTGGCTCTCTGCATCAGACCTTCCAACTCTCGGCCTAACATAGAACCTGCTGTCTCACCAATAACCTGGAAAGATGTGTAACCAAGAAGATGATTCAGCAATCTATAGTACATGAGAGGACAATGTATTTAGCAGCTTGTTGTTTGATTGTTATTAGAAGTGATCTAAAGAGAGAGGAAGTAATATCATAAAAGAACTAATTTGAGTGACTCAGCATCACTGGTGGTTGGAAGCTTCCTATAATATGTGTGCTCTCTTAAAGAACAATGTACAAGAATCAGTTGACGAAACTACCATGGAATCGAAACGTAAGTGCATAGCACTGACTAAGTTTCCATACGTTCTGCATACATCAACTATACGAGCTGAGTCAAGCTCCGCTATAGACGAGAAAGAGCCAAATTCTAGCTTGCTTGGAGATATGGTGTTCAGATATAGTTGATATCAAGCTGGATTATAAGCTCATCTATAGCCAGGGGCAAGCTCCTTTTGTTGAATTATTTAGCTGAATCACATCCTAAATAGAAATAATTATTTTTCCATCCAATCAATTATGTTGGTTATATAGAACCCTGAAAGTGGAGTGTAAATACCCTTTTATAGTTCTGGAGAAAAACACATATGATGTTTTGTTAACACTAAATGAGCCAGGATAAGCTCCCTGAGCTCATGTCTTTTCAAAGTTGAGCTACAAAGTGTGCTCGACACAGCTAGGATGTGAACTTCCTATGCAAAAACATGATTGTTTTTAGCTCTAAAAGTGGATATGTACGTTAACCTATTGACTTCTTGAATTTTTAACTACCAACTATTTTCTTGTTGGTTAAACTCCAGTGGAATATGATACACAATACAAAACAACACAAGAGACCTCTTGGTAAATCATGCAGAAGAAATAGTCCATAAACTTAAGTTATATGCAGAACATACAACTCATCATCATAATAATTAAGTAACACTGACAACTCTTTACAACAATAAAGTGCCCTGTACCTGAGAACAAATTGAAGTGCATGCACATATTCAGATAAATTCTTGAGAAATGAACATTTTACAAGAAAAACCTAGCATGCTTGAAAATGGTCATGTGTGGACTAAATGGTTCATTAGATCCTTTTAAGATAAAATGACTGTCACTAACATGAAAACAGCAGAGCTGATCAAAGCAGAATGTTGTGCTAAACTCCAATGGATTGCAAATGAAGAAGAAGCAAAAATAAAATATTGGCCATAATTCGATTTTGATCCTGAAAACACCGATTTGATAATTGAACATCAAATCATATCTAAGCAGGAGTAAGAAAAGAACCAATGATGCACAAATGAACATGGCATATAATTAGCAGAAGACTTTATGTTGATCTGAAGCATACCTTTGGTTGTTGTCTAATAAACTTATCAGTAGCCTCTAAAAGGCGGGTATTATCTACACCCGTCTTGGAGAATATGCGACGAGCCAGCCCATTCTTTTGCTCCAACAGTGCCTTCATCAAGTGCTCAGTCTCTACTATTTGATGCTTGTTCTCTTTAGCTATTTCTGGCGATGCAACAATTGCTTGCCATGCCATTTCTGTAAAATCTTGCTGAGTGATCTGCCATTACAAAACCAATTAATTGGATCGAGTGAAATATATCAGTCAAAACGGTTATATAAATCATCCATAACCACCTCACTCTACTTGGACTGAAATATATCAGTCAGAACGATTATATAAATCATCCATATCCATTCCACTCTACTTAGATATATTTCATTCCAAGTTGTATAATTTTCCCCTTAAGGTAATTAAGGGTTCTCCCTCCATGGGTAAATAGTTGAGTCTCAACTAACTGGTATTGCTATCTCAACACTTTGCTTACAGATCATTGATTCCAAGAGATATTAGGGAACGACTCTATATGCCTAACCATTCGATCACATTTGCCAAACAAGTATCTCACTCTGCAAGCAAATAGACATGCCATAACACCCAAACGGAAAAATGTGCAAGCACAAAGAATTCAATGCATTTTGATTGATTCATTCAATGAGAGTGTGACTTATCAACTGCTTGAGTACCACTTCAAATCTTCCTATTATGGATATCAATCAAGTGACTAATTGGCACCACTTCCCTCAATAAATTGATTAGATAAAGTGGCACTCAATTCAGAACCAATAAATTGATCTGATAAAGCGGTGAGCATCTAAATACCATTTTGCACACTTCCACTATAGAAAGCAATTGCATTTACAATAAAGTAAAATCCATAAGTAAATGAATAAGTAGTATTACCCTTCCATTTGAAGCATCACAACGTACGGTAAGCCTTGAGCCCTGAGAAAGTTTCTCAGTTTTCCTACTGAAGAACACATCCTTCCTCTTCAGTTTCAACGAACTACACTTGCCAAGAACTCGCGATTTGCCTGAGAAGTTCAGGTACGGCGCTGAATGGGATGAAAATAAAGCAACTCTGTTTGAAGAATTGGAAGAAGAAGAAGGAACGCAAAACTGTACGCCGGAAAATGACGTCACGGTAGACATACCGGTGAACCAAATGTACTATTCTGTTATCTCAACGTTATTGAAGAAGGAAGAAAAACGACAAAGTTTCAGCGGATAGGAGAGAGTGTTTTGCCGGAAAAGTTTGGGGTTTGCGTGAGAATATAAGGAACCGGTGGACTCTTCTCGTAACTTCCCGAACGTGAGAGCGCGTGTGAAAATTTTTACTATGATATCTTTCATTTTTTAACGTGTATTTTATATATTTTTTTTATGCAAATTAATATATATTTTTCATCAGAGTCGCCCAAACTTTTGCTTCTATATTTCTTATATATATATATATAAAAAAAATTATATTCACCTAACAAAGCTTACAGATCCCAACACAGTGTTCGTAATTCAAAAAATTATAATCATCATAATAAAAGGAGTAATGAATTTCTTTTCTGATGGCAAAGATATTTAAAAGAGACAAGTGTCATTACTGAAAATTTAAAAATCAAATTGGTTAAATATGTACTATATTTATTCTTGAATTGGTTCAAATAATTAAAAATTAAGTAAATTGAATACAGAAAAAATGAATTGCACAATCAAAATATAGTGCACAAAGAAAAGAATCTACAGCTAATTGGATGGCAGATGAAAAAATGACTCTCGCATCACAAAAATATACCGCGCGTGAGAGTCAGGATCATACACGTGGCACATTTGAATGGGTTACTATGGACCCCACAACTGACATGTAGACTGTTCTAGTCTAGTCTAGTCTAGTCTATCATTTTATTTTAAATTTTATTAATTATGAAAGAAACGTGTGACAATTTTTTGTATCTATATATTATACATTGATCACCATAAGAAGATATTCAAGATTAAATTATGAATTCAGCCAACGAGTTCATTCGTATTTTGTACAGACAACAGAGTCCTACAGAAAAGAAATGGTATACTTGACAGCAACACAAATTTTCAATCAATGCAGAATGGACTTTGAATCCATCAAGCACTAAAAAAGAAAGCAGCAAATACAAAAGAAAATGACGAGACCAGACCATACACGATCTTGAGAATACAAGGAAGGAATGCCAACAACTCATGTTTGTTTGTTACTACTTCATCAACTTCAGTATTGTTAACAACCACCACCAGTCTTTATCTGAAAGTAGAGGGTCCAAAACATCAGTTTACAGACCTTGATATCTGTCGATGACGAAAAGCAACTACCTACCTTGCATATAGCCATCCCCCTGTTGGAACTGAATATCATAGTATAACGCAGAGGCACTTATTCTGCTTCATGTCATCTGACGCTTTTTTCTCTGTTTCACCAGTAGCAAAATTCAAACAACAAACATTTTGTTCAGAGACAGCGACACAACTAAAAAGAACGTAAAACACAGAATGGAAATCAAACATCCTAAAGGCAGTAAATACTGTTTTATATGGCGTTGATATGTTTAGTAAATCTAAGCTGACCTTTCTCCTGAGCTGGTGGTTGAACAACCACATGCATGGTCGTGACTCCTCCGGGAATATCACATAGCGGGCTTCTGCATTCAGCCACTGTTCTGTTGTTTTCCAATATTCTTCCAGCGCTGATTAACTTAACATCTTTTACTGTCCGCGGACCATTATCCTTCTCTATTACATAAGATATATGTCTCAGAAAACATGACTTGAAAACTTGTAACAAGATTGAACCCAATACTTAACAAAAGACTATAGAAAGAAAATTAATAGCAGAAAATATTTGATAACAGAGAGAAAGTGCACAACATTCAGGTAAATTATCTGAAAATATGAAAAAAGAATTTCAAGAAAAGAGCTCATGTTTCTAATTGACATAATACATATATTGGACCCTAAACTTGGCTTTAAATTTTAATTTTGACTTCCAACTTTCATAATGCACAAACAAGCACTTTAACTATTCAACTTTTAAATAAATAAACACATGAGTCGTACATAACACAATACACGTAAGACACCACGTAGGACAAAAAATGACATGTAAGATGACATGTAGGACATATGTGTCTATTTATTCAACTTTATACAAGTTTAAGTGTCTATTTGTGCACATCCAAAGTTGAAGGGCGTAAATGATATTTGAAGCCAAGTTAAAGAGCAGATTTATGTATAATGCCTTTCTAATTCAATATATTTTTGTTTGCATCGCAGCTAATTCTTTCAGAGTCATCTCGAATGCTGAGAAAACATGATTTACTCGATACCTGCTCCGGTGAACTGTGCAAACCTTAAAGTTCAGTCAAGGAATTTGACATACTTAGCAACACGTGAATGAAATAGGACATTCTGAAAGACATGCACGAACTTACTGCCATTGAACTAGGTGCATTGAAAATATCGGTTTTTATTACAGGGACCTAATCAAACGACTTTTCATTAGATGTTGGTTTTATTATATGGACTAACACATCATTCTTTTAGGCTTCTCAATTTTCCTTTCTAAAATACATGCTTAAAATTAGAAGTCCTATCAGAAAAAAGTGAATATCCAATATTTGCATAACAAACAATGCATCAGCACATCTAAAAGTTGAAAGGTTTGATTAGCCAGAGCTTCATGTCATCTAAACACTATCAGAGTCTACTTTGTCGACTTTCTTAACCAATATCCCTTTAGAGGAAGACGCCTAAAACAATCTCAAGCGAAAGTCCACCACTATTTGATTGAAGCAGCAAAGCGCCTCAACTATCTGAATAACAATGTGCCAATTTTTTTTATCATTCAGAATCCCTACAAATTGTATACATATTACTTTTCGGTAGAGAACTTAAGTGAAGGAACTATCCACAGAGCTATATTATCTAACAAAAGTAACAACTACAGATCATAGACTATGATAAGCTCCAAAATATTAGAGCCTTAACAACCATGATTACGGTTCTTAAAGCAATCAAGCCACCAACAGAAATCTAGGGTAATTGAAAATCTCACACACAATTTATCAGCTATTCAAGAACTAAACTAACCTCTGGGCCACTGAGCAAGGATGTTCTCCTTTAAGGTTGCTACGCTTGTAGCCGCAGAAAAACTCTTGGGCCCAATATCTGTTCCATCAATCAATCTAAACTTAATCTCCAGTTGATCTTGAGCTGCAGACATCCTTGTTCTAACTTACAAAACAAACCCAACACAAGGATCTTTTACTAGGATCTTCCTGTAACCTGTTCAGCCTTAATTAACACAATCACTGAAGCTCCCAAGACCAAAGAATTTAGTCTTTGGTTCTTGACACTTTATGGATCTCATCAAATTCCCAAATCCCAGCCTTAAATCTTCATAAAAAACAAAATATGAATTCATAATATTAACACCGACAAAATATACATAAACCCACACAAAATCAGGTAAATAATTACACTTTCTTGAATTAGATTAGATTATCAAGAAAAGATAGTCAAACTACAATTTAAACAACCCAAAAGAAAGAAATTCAAGAATCTTGAGTTAAAATTAACCAAGAAATCACAAATTTTAACAACCCAAAGTCAAGAAAACATTAAAATAAGTACTCAAACTGCAGACAAGAATCATCAAGTTACAATTCTACAAAAGAATGGATCTTTAAAACAAAACAAAAAAATTATCATCAAATGCTTACTGTTAAGAGAAACTGATCTGGAAACTGTCCACTGTTTACCGAACAAAGTAATTACATATGATATTCCTCAAGACAGATAGAGCTACAAAACTAGTATAGGGAAGAAGAAAAGGAAAGGGTAGGTAATACGTGTAATGCATTAACAATAAAATAATATTAATAATTTTTATATTAAAAGAAGAAGAAAAAAAGAAGATGAAGAAAAATCAAATTCGGCAATTTTCGGAGTTTTCAAAGTCTTGTTTTGCTCTCTCTACGTCTTCGCTTTGGTCAATAAAGTTAACTCTCTTCGGCTTCTCCTCCTCACTATATGGAATTATCGATTTTTTTTCTCCTCTCCTCACTTTTTTTTTTTATAAATTTGGATTATTTGCGATAATTTAAAATTTGAACATATATATATATATATAGTATTTACGTAAAAAAAAATTATGTTTTAAGGGCAAATAAAGTATTTGAGAAAAAAGTTATCTACACAGGATAACTAAACACATGACATGTATATGCTGACTTGATATAAACACTCGATGCGAATAAATTTTTTTCTAAAGATTTGAATAAGCCTTCGCCAATATTATTGTTCTATTTTAAGTACTTTATGCATTTTAAAGGAAAGTTATTATGTGTACTTAATTATATATGAAAGGATATGGTCTTAAATAAATTAGTAATAAGAAGTTTGGATGTTACAATTCAAAATCAACTATTCAAAATTTATAAAAGTTCAAATACTACTTGATAGATTAGTCAGGTATGTCAATGTCAATAAAAATACATGTCATAATTACTGAAGATTTTAGGCAATATTAATTTTGGTTATTTGGTTAGAAAGTAACTTATTTTAAAATTATTTATTTTAGAATAAATTACTTCGGTATGTGTATAAGATAAGATAACTTTAATTATCACTAAAAAAAATAATGAGAGAAAATAAATTAAAAATGATCTAATATGTCCAATCATTTACAAGATAAAATTATCTTATATTTTATTTTAAAATTATTATATCTTATATCTCACGCGAAACAATTTTTTTTTTTTCTGTCGCCCTTCTTTCCCTCCTAAATTATTTAAAATATATAAAAAGATTTGTATGATTTGAGCTGGAGACTCATTCTTTTTTAAGACCTTTTTTCTTCTTCTTTTTTGACATAGGAATATTTATTTGTTGCTACTTTTTGTCCCTTTGAGTGCATTTAAAGGGATTCGTTAGTTTTTTTTAATATTGAAAGTTACGAAACAGGCTGGTATGATACACTTGTTTACTCAGCAAGATTTTGTTTTAACAATTTGTACTTTGACTTCACAGTTGTACTTATAAAATAGAAATTTGAATAAAATGACTTGAGAAAGATCAAACATCAAGACAACAAAAATCACGTTAATAAAAAGCAAAAACTGGAGAAATTTTTGGTAAAAATGAATCTGCACATATCATTGAATCATACAAAACAAGTAGCAAATGTAATAATCTACG